AAGTCCAACTCTTGACACCGCACAGGTCTACCCAAAAGTTCAGACCATGTGACTAAGCGTACAGTCCAATCTCTTCTTAAATTCAGTACAGGCTCGGTACAGTGACCACTTCCCTGGGGAGCCTGTTCCAGTGTGCAACCACTCTCTCTGTGAAGAACCCCCTCCTGATGTCAAGCCTAAACTTACCCTGCCCCAGCTTAACCCCGTTCCCGCGGGTCCTGTCGCTAGTGTTAATGGAGAAAAGGTCTCCTGCCTCTCAACACCCCCTTACGAGGAAGTTGTAGACTGCGATGAGGTCTCCCCTCAGCCTCCTCTTCTCCAGGCTGAACAGGCCCAGTGCCCTCAGCCGTTCCTCGTACGTCTAATAACGAGTTAAATACGAGTTAAATAACTTTACCTTCAAACACTGAGATATTGAAAACATACATTAGAAAAAAGGAAAAGTCACAATAGGGATGTGGCCACAGATGGAAATCCTCCAGAGAACACATGTCAGTAGAAGCTTGCTAATTTGCTGGGCCAATTTCTCTTTGCTTTTCTTTTGCCTTAGATAAGTGAACAGAGAAGAAAATAACTGGCACAGAATGCTAACTTCAGGCCCTCTGAGGGCTGGAGGAGCTCACGTATGGCATTTACCTGCTGCAAGGCAGCACCCGTTACCTGTGGTGCTGTCAACGCCCGCAAACACAGGAGTAATGCCGCCTTACCGCCACCAGCAGGCCGACGAGGACAGGTTAGGAGCCGGGCAGCACCGCCTGAGCCCCACAGCGGCCCGAGGGCACCAGACCTGGAAGCAGCGCGGCTCCTGCGTCTCCCTCAGCCGCTCCCGCCTCAGCCGCTCCCGCCTCAGCCGCTCCCGCCTCAGCCGCTCCCGCCTCAGCCGCTCCCGCCTCAGCCGCTCCCGCCTCAGCCGCTCCCGCCTCAGCCGCTCCCGCCTCAGCCGCTCCCGCCTCAGCCGCTCCCGCCTCAGCCGCTCCCGCCTCAGCCGCTCCCGCCTCAGCCGCTCCCGCCTCAGCCGCTCCCGCACCGTTGCAGCCGTGCCCATCCCCACACACACTGCCATGGCGAGGCCCCTGAGCGCGTCCCAGCGACCTGCTCCAGTGACATTTGGGTCATTCTGAGCATTTTCGGCTCCTCTCTCACAGCCCCTTTCAGCCCCACAATGGGCTCTCTCGTCCTTCGCAACAGATTTCCTTCATCCTGTTGACACCTTTTGGGATTTAAGAAGCCCAGAAAAAGCAACGCGCTGAAGGGAATTGAGAATAACAACACCAAAGCAAAGAGCCTATTCAGTCTGTCCTAATGTAAAAAACAAAACCAGAGCAAAAGAAACATAAAAGACAACACTAACTAATGAACAGTGATATCCGCTTAACTGCCCCAGTTCTGGCTTCAGTTGGAGAGGTCTCTTCCACCTCGGTACCTGCTCCTTGTGGGCTTGCACTCTGCAAAGGGTTTGCTGACTCCTAAAACTAATGGAGATTTACTGGACAGCATCCCGATAACCTTTCCAATGTACCTGGAGAAATGTTGGTGCTTGCCCTTGAAAATTCTCCCCACAGAAACATCTCATTTGCTCTACAGAAGACAGCAATAAATTCAGTGACATGCTCAGCACGGACAGATCCTGGACCAAGTGTAATTTTACTGACATGCATGAAGTTACATCAGAATTGATTCACCCCACTATTCTCCACATCCCTGTTGTCCTTCAAAGTGGTGTGCGCAGTCAGCCTGCAAGGACAGTTTCACTGCTTGTTCAAACTCACTAAAATGTGCTCCCACTGCTGGGCAGAGCTGGCCCACATGCCCAAGCTTGCCCAGTGCCTTGGGAGGTTGTTGAGGGTCTCACTCCACTGCCACTTGGCACATGCAGACAGGCTGTACAAAACTTCCGGCATGCCAGAGAAATGCAGACAGCTTTTCCTGAGATTCCTTTTGCAAGAGTTATAAAGCCTCCAGATCAGATCTGGAGCTCTTCTGTTTCATGGAGTAGGACTTAGTGACCCAAAGAATCTAAATAATTTTGGTGAGCATGCTCCTGCAAATCACTCATTTTAAAAAAAGGGGGGAGGGAGGAGCTGACTTTCCAAAGTCACTTTTCTTTTTGGTAGTGAGGCAGTGTGCCCTTGGCTTCTTCTGATCAGTGGGACATTCAGCAGTAAGCACTTTCTTTGAGTTTCATCAATATTTTCAAGAGATAGAAGAGAACTTCACTCCTTTTTGAGTACCACTCAGACTAAGATGAAAAGCTTGTGAAGCTGCCAATTACATAACCTGAACTGCCTTGTCAGTAAAGAGCTTTGCAGGATGCATTCTTGCTTCACAAGATGGAAATTCAGCTTTTATTCAAGTGGTGTGATTTGGTGACTTCACTGTTTAATGCATGTAGCTGCTGTGATGAATCAGAAGCAATAACTGAAAGGGAGGTTGCTCAAATTAATTCTCCTACCAGGAGAATGTGCTGAATATGCTCTATCTCCTGGATAACATGCCAGCGTGACCATTTCAAGACAAGGGTTGATGCAGACTGCACTGGTGACAACATATGCTTACCCTGCATGACAGAATTCCAAGCTGAGATATTGGACAGGCCACCAGTAGATTCCCACAGAGCAGTGGGCACATCAGATCTGGCCTGGAAGTTGTATAGCCATGTTTGTGCTGAATTGCATCCAGATTAGTAAAACATGTCCCCTGACTTACTAGTTTGGGCCCTCTACCAAGTCATAGACAGCCATACTGTTTCCCAGGCTAAAATGACTTGTATACAGCTGACTGGGTCACTCAGAAACAGCATTTCTTCTCTCCCTGATCAACATGGGTATGAGGACTGGATTTGAGTGCCTTAGACTGCAAAGCCTTTGGGACAGGAGCAGTATCTTGCTTACAAGTCTGGGTGGTACCTTCCATAACGGGAATGCACAAACATTCCTGAAGCTTGAATGTGACAGCTTTTCCTTCTGTAAAAGTAGATCAAAGCAGTTTAACTGCTGTTTTGACAGAAACTAAAAGAGAAAAACTATCAGTAAAATGTATCCAAACGAAAAACAATGCTGAGCTTATTAGCCAAGTTGCACTGCAAGCTTAAAAATTATCATTCTAGACCTGGAAATTTATGTTCAGAGCCACGAATTCAGAGTTAATTTATTATGCAGTAGATTTCCAGCTCCACTGAGCTTAATGGGATTTGTTATTCTGTTAAATGGGCTTTTCCCTCAGAGCACCTTGTTTCATTAGACTATGTAACAGAGGTTTGCATGAATGAGGTGTGTAAACAATACAGCAACACACCACCTGCCCCTTTGTTTTGCGCACCAATGTGCTAATTCCTCTTACAGACTGTGGCTGCACGTGTACTGCACTCCATGCACAGGAGGGCATGCATGCACCATGGTCATGGCTGCAAGAGGAGGCAGTGGGATTTCTCTTTGCTGAAAGCCAAGAAGAAGCAGCAAGGAATGTTACAGATCCCTTGAGAGAGGTTTTGACTTGCTAACGGTCTCCAGTGTGTTTAGAGTTCAAAATTGGACCTAGCTTGCTTGCACTGTGTTGACAACACATTCTCCATGAGCCAGCTAGCATTTGGGGATGTGCCAGATGTATACAGAACTGTCTATAATTAAAAACACTTTGATTCATAACAGTGTTAAGTGGATCTAACAAAATCAAGGCCCTCAGACTCTCTCTGTCTCCTGTAAAGTATCTAAAATCCAAGTGTCAAAACAGAGAAGTCCACAAGGAAGGAGAAAGACCAAACTTCATTTCAGAGCGGTGAAGCCAAGGCAGTGAAACAGCACATGACCCTGGTGATAAATCCAGGAGTCAACCCAAGGCCTGCTTGTTCATTCAACACCTGAATGAAACTCCTTTTATGATGGTCCTCATAGGATTCTACTCCAGTGTGCCCAGACTAGATACTGTTCTTCTCACATCCATCTCTCTGATGAGAGAAGAGATCCTCCCTCTCCAGGGCTAATTGGAAAATTAATTTTTCTGTTAACTTTCATTTTTTGTAACAGAGTTCTTTGCCATTCTGAGCAGCAAGTTGAGCGTAAATGCTATAACCCTTAGTCAGGCAATGCATCCATTAAGGAGAAATTTTGCACTTTTTTATGATACGATTTTATACTACACAACTGACTGACCTTGATATTCCCACTGTTTACAATCATTTAATTTTTATACATAATATGATGATGTTTTCCAAGGAAAATTTATAAGCAATTTCAGCAGCTATTAGACATTGCCAGTGAAACTCCATTTATGATGAAGAACAGAATAAAACTCATGGAACTGTCAAGGAAAACAAGAAAGTCAATGTCTAAATTCCTGACAGCATCAATAACAACAAATCTAGTGTGAAATGGCATGAGTTTTCCCCAGATATCCATTTTGTAACTTGTATAGAATAGAAATCTTGCTGGAAATAAAATTAATGTACAGAACAAGGACTGAACAAATTCATAAAAGCTGCAGAACTCAAAAAGAAATTGTTTCTTTCTCTGTTGCTTTCATTTGTGTGTATATTCATGACTGTGTGTAAATCTAAATACATTCATAAGCCTGAGGGCAATGTTGATTCAGAAACACAAAACAAAAATTAAAGAATCAATGACCTCTTGAAATAAATGACAGAACTCCCTTCATTTCAGCAGAGACAATTTTTCACCCACTATTTGGGCCAAACTTATCAACAGCCAAAAGACTGTAAATTTGACTTTGGAAATCCAGTGAACAGGAGGAGAAAAGTGGTCCTTGGATTGTCCGTCTATTTGGTAAATCTTTCCTGAAAATGTATCAGACAACACTCCAGACTTGCTTCCCTACCCTCACCTCATCATAATCTGGTGAACCCTCTTTCTCTACTACCCCAGAGATAGCGTAAGCTCCTTAAGTAGATGTGTCAGTCCAGAGTTTGGTGAGGAAAATACATGTCTTAGTGTGAGATAAGCCAGATCAGAATTTACTTTAAAGATGTGAAATGATTTCACACTTACTTTGCATTAGGAGTGTGCAGCGAGGGAATCAATGCAGGCCAGTTTATGTGGTGCACATCCCAGGTACCACATGCTGCTTACTTCCACATGGAGACAAGCCAATATTTGTTATGATTCCATCTGTGAAGTTTTTTCTTCTCATTCTTATCCTTGCAGCTGCCATCCTGAGATATAAAGAAGAAACAGTGTCTTTTATTTCCAGATAGAGGCACTGAGAAAAACAGAGACAATAATTCAACTTCTTTAATCTATACTGGTTTCAGGGCCTGAGTTACAGAGAACATAGATGTCATGAAGTGTGCAATGAAGCCTGCCAAGATATCTGTTGATCTCCCATGGTGGCCCACTAGTTGCCTGCATGACAGTGGTGTCCTTGCAGTTTATGTAGCTGTAGCTGCTCTGGACCATGCACGGAAAAGCAATCTGGATGTCAGCAGCAGCTCCCTCAGAGACCAAGAAGCCTGGATGATTTCACTGATGTTGCCTGTGCATATTGTTAAAGGACTGTGTTTGGAAGATGGCCTCAGAGGTCCCAGTCACTGCCTTGGTTCCATGGACTTGGCCATCCCAAGCCACCTAACCACAGCCTGGGGAGGGAGGCTGCAAGTCTGCACGGGGACAGACATTCTCTTGAACCCACAGGGGTTCCTGAAGTAGCCTATGAAGATGGTCATGGCATGGCATTCCCTGCACAGTTGCCTTGCATTTCTAGAAGTTTTGTACTCACTGCTGTTCATCCTATATGCGCTGGGTGATCCAGTCATCCCTAGCCAAGCTTGTCTACAGTGCCCAGAACCCCTGGCTCAGTGGGGCAAAGTGGCTGTAGTGGCACAGCACAGCAAAAGGCTACTCCATCTGCTTCACTGAGGAAGACAAGGTGCAGCAGGACAGGCACTGGCTCATTTCAGAAGGCTGCCTGATCCCACAGATGAGCCTCCTTTCTACTGGCATGAGCCCAGCTCTTCTCTCTCCTTGTTCCTGTGACACAGAGCTGCAGCAATACCAAACAGCCACCAGACAGGTAGGATTTAACACCCTCATAACGACAACAATGCTCTTCAGGCAGAATCAAAGCCACTGCAGAGCAAAGCCCTAGCTTAAGGTGGAATGATGCATGTGTGGGACAAACTGAACTGCTCTAATTTTTCTGGTATTTATGTTTCATTAGCTAGCAGTTCAGAACGGCTCTGGGAGTAAATCCCTCCTCTATGAGTCCCAAGGTCACTTCCATAGCTGCAGGACTAAGAAATGCACTGAAGCCTGGCCAGTTGATAATCTTCTGCCTCGCTCACACCAATTGAATCCTTTCTTCTTTTGGACGAACTTATCCCAGAGCTAGCTAGACTGTAGGCCCCTGTTAAATAATGATGATTATGTTCTTTTGCTCACTGCAGACAAAGAATTATAGCCCCTCATTTAGAACTCATTTCAAAACCATGAGATTCTGTAATTGAAAGTGGCTGAAACTAATTTGATAACCCAGTTCTGAACACAGCCAACTAACTACTTTCCCTTTGTCCTTTCAACAGTAATGGCCTTGTCAGGAAACTCTTCTGTGCTACTTTTACGAGGGCAATTATGATGGAGGTTGAAAGCTATTGTTCTGTGACAGGCTGCAATCTCAATATTGCCTTCAGGTTTTCAGCAAGGCCAGGGGCATGGCAGAAGGTTCAAATGCCCTCCAGACACATCTGCCCACTGAAACAACTGCCCCGCACTCACTGTCTTGGATGACTGGCTCTAGAGCATGCCTCAAAATGCAGAGCTCTGTCCAGGAGCATGTCTGACACTTCTCAAGCCTACACCAACACGTGCTGGGTTCCCCCAGGGCAGATGGGAGGGAGAAGTGTCTCTGCCTTTATTCTTGCTGGTAGCTCCCTCAGACACACTGCACTGTTGACCCTTGCCTACTAAAATCCCTTCACAGGACACATTGAAGGCTTCTCCTCACTCACAGCCACCTTCAGCACACTGTACGGGGAGGCTGCACTAATGTTTAGATATAGCGAATGCCCCTCTTGGGCAAAACAGGCAGGTCACACTTAGACTGCACAGGTGGGAAGGAGAGGAACTGTTTACCCTCACGAACATGCACAGAATACCGCAGGGGCACACTCATATTTTCACATGCACTGCTGACTGCATTGCTAAGATCCTCTCAGTTAGGAGTACACTCACAAGCAAAGAATAACAAGGGCTTTCTGCCCTCAGAAAGGTTAAAACAGCCTAAGCAGGCACTGCAACAAAAGCTAGAAGATAAAGCCTTAATTTGATGCCCACCTAGTGCTCTATCTGCAAAACTGCTGACTCACTGCTTTGCTCTTGTGATTAACAGTCTTGACCACTGAACGCATTAACTCTGGTACAAGCATCAGTGCAAGAAGACCCATTACCTCAAATTCCTGCCTGTCTCATTTTCATATCCTCACCCAGGAGTGCAGTGGGTGCTGGAGATGAGAGCAGCTTTCTCTGTGCGCCACTTTTGCAGTGAGCATCAAGGGGAATTTGCTGATTGCAAGATACGTATCTTTGGTATATAAGTAAATTTTTCTTGGTGTCTAGGATTCTGGGCCTTCCCCATGGTAAAAGGAAGAAATGTAAATAAACAGCAAACATAGCCTAGAGCTGTGCTCATATTGCTCTGGCTGTTGTAATAATTAGCATAAGCAAATTGCTAAACTGTGTGCTGTGATAAAATGATGGATTACAGCATGGAAGAAATCATTAACACATTGATTAGCAGCACATGCCTTCAAAATCACTATCTAAGCAAATTCTGAGGATTGTGTAAGCTTTGCAAATGTTACAAGCACTGCCTTCCACAATCAAGAATCAGGACATATTAATACATAAATCACTGAAATACAAAATTAAATTTTAACTATTAAAGTCAGTTCTCAAGTGTTTCTGATACATTCTGTATCTGTTTGCATGGGGTTCCTGTTCTGTAACCCCTGTACTCACACAGAGGGGGCTGAAACCGTGGCTGCTTGAGGCAGGGTCTAAGATGCAGGGATCTACCTCCACATTTCCAGGTGCACATCCCCTTCCTTTTTTATCCGTATCTCTGCTGCATGTATTCTAAGCATTTGACAGCATTGGATGGTGAGATAGTGTGTCCATACCATGCAGTGTATACCTCCTAGCATAGAAAAGGATAATTAATAAATATATAAATATATAATAGAACGTGAATAGTAGCCTTTTTTGTTGTTGTTGTTGTGTATGATAGTTTTGCTTTGAATGTAGTAGTAATTTGATTCTCCTCTATCTATTAAATGAAATGTTTCCCTGCACTTACATATCACAAGGATTTCCTGACCAGTCTATGTGGTTCACTGGCAGCATCTGCTGCTAGGTATTCCCTCATGATGGCTTTAATAATCAAAGCAGCTCTGCTTTTGCCAAAGCTAATAGCAAGAGACTTCGCTTCTCATTCAGTACAAGTGCTCAGTAGTTTATAAAATTACTTATTTGAATGGGTTTCCTTTTATTAGGATTAGCAGGCCAATCTCACCCCCACTCCCCATTCCTCCCCCCTTGTTTTAAATAAGACGAGACACACATATTGAATTTTAATACATCACTGTAACAAAAATGTGTATGTCAATAGTGGCTACCTGCTGTGAAAAAGAAATATAGGAGCCTACCCCATAGCTCTATGTCAGCACGTTTACGTAATCCCAGAGGATTCCCAAATTCATTATCAGCAGTACATAAAATCAATACAAGGCTGTGATTTCACTTACTGACTTGGGTACTGCCACAGTGGAGATTATACATGTAGGCCTTGCTGTGGTGGTTACAGACATAAAATAACACACATCTCACAAGCTCTGACAGCCAGGAGGATAAAGGCACGTCCAGAGCAGTGAAGTGCAGGGACACCAGAAGCTCCGTTTGTCTTGCAGAAATGCTCGGTCTATTCCCTCCCCACCATTAACCCACTCAAAACTCCTACGTGGTAGGGGAAGGAGTGGAGCCACAAGTTTGGTTGTTCTGATTATTTTACAGATCCTACCACACACATCCAGGTCATAAATATGTTTTGAAGTCCTGCAGTGGACTAGAATGGGAAGAAGAGAAAGAGCTGAAAATGTTTGTAGTTCATTTGCCAGAGCTGAGTATCTCAGAGATTCCCTCACTTTTCGTTTGCCAGAGCTGAGTATCTCAGAGATTCCCTCACTTTCACTGTCAGATTAAATCATGGATGTGGAAACTAGTGACCAGTGACTCCAGGGTCTGTGTCTATAAATGAGTGTTTCAATAGGGGGGTAATTTATTTCACTTAAGTAAACCCACTGGTATTTGCTATGAATGTATTCAGTAAAATGCCCTTTTAATAAGTAAAAGAATACCTTTCAAAATTGCAGAAGATTTGCAAATGTGATCTTCAATTCCTGTAGTTCCTTCTCCAGTTCAGTTCCAGCTGCAAGGCGGCTCTCAGAAATGAGAGACAAAGTGTTCTTCTCCAAGGAGAGTCCATTTTATGAGTGCCTGGTTGTATGCTTAGCTACTCACTGCTTCTCTCTCAAAATCTAGTATCTCATTGGATTTTATTTTTTTAATTAATTGGGTACTTTTATACATAGTTCCAAGAGTTACCTCTCAGGACAGCATTAATTTTAATAGCATCTTAAAATGACAGATTTGAGATATGCCTCTAACACTGAATATATGTAATTAATAGATTTTCCTCTTGCTGCACTTGCTTGGCACTACATTTGTCATGGCAGTGGTCCTGCTTTGGCACCGTTCTCATCCATTCCTCATCCAATGATTTTTATTTCATAAAATATCTTTCACTAGCAGTATAATTTCTGCATTGCCATACAGGCAATGTCACATACTTAAATTCTTCATAAACATTTACATCAGCATCTGTCTGTGTTGAGACATCAAATGTTCTTTTCTGGAGGAGTCTGCAGTTTCACCTGCTATTATGGTATATCATCTCCCAGAAACAGTCTCAGAAATATCTCTCACAAATTTAAGTGTCATAACTTGCCTGAACAGCCTTCACCTAAACAGATGGAGGAAATTGTCCTGATTTTTTGGCAGCCATAAGGATTGTTCAGGCTGCAAGCAAAGTTGATGAATAACACGGCAAACAGCCCCTTTGCTAGACAGCCCCTCTCAGACCAACCAGACTAATAGCCTAATAGTACAAGTCCCTATTTTCCCATTTTTATTCAGATCTTCTCATTTTTCCTTTTTTTTCAAGAAGTCTGGAGAACATTGTTGATAGCTGTTTGAAGAATACCTGATGTTTCACAGTGACACAAAGCAGCGCAGTACTCCTTACATTTGTCTTCCATCTTCTTTGACTTAGAAAAGCCAGTCTGTTAAGACTAGGCTTTTTGTACTTATCCAAATGGGGTTTGAACCTAAAAGCCATGCAAGAGCAGAAACAGTTTATTGCCCTTAACCACATAGGACACCACAGAGTAATGTAGACAGAGAAAATCTTAAAGTCAGGAAAAACAATCACATTTCTCAAAATTGTTTGAGTGATTTCATTTCAGTACTTGCACACTTGTTTTGAGCACTGCCATGTTGGCAGTGGCCAAGAACAGCACAAGTCTGTGGAGCTGAAAGCACTCACTGCGCTCTCCTGCACACTGCAACTCTTTGTTTAGCTGCTGTTCCACAGTACGAGTGTTCCTTCTAGAGCCACCCAGAATTAGATCAAATGAAGAAGAGAAAACAAACCCATGGACAGATGCTTTACACTACAAAGTGATTGCTTCAATGTTTTACTTACTCAGGTTCGTCTCTCACTGGAGACCAGCAGTAGACTGCAGCCGAAGACCTGAGGCTATCCAGCTGGGACAAGGAGCAGATAGGGAACAAAGTAGATGCTGCAAAAGGGCTCCCGTTGTCTGCCCTGTCTTCTTGCTGTTAAAAAAGCAATGGGACAGTTCCATTCAGAGCAAGGGGAGGAATGCAAGGCAGTAAGGCTCGTATGGCTCTGTGGGTTTCCCTTTCCTGGGCTGTTCACGCCACTTCCCAGCCAGCACCTGCCAGCAGCTAGCGACCAACAGCCAGCTCACGCCTACAGCAGTGAGAACAATTTCAGGCCGCAGCACTCTTCTTAGGCAGAAGGATGTAAAATTGTCATGCATTAAATATTCTAGTTGATGAAAAGCTTCTTCTATTGAAGCAATGCCATAACTACCTCTGACTTCAATGGAACAAGTATTTTTCCCATCCTTCTACTATCTCACTGATCAGATCTGTTTTCACCCATTCTTTTCCTCTGAGGCCTTCCCAAATTTTTTTCTGAGGAAACAAACTGATTTTGTATCTTCTAGTTTTAACACTCCTGTAATATAATTGTATTCTTTGTCCTAAAAGGAAACTCTTAACAGTATGTGTTTCAGGTTTTCCATCTTGCGCAGTTCATTTTTGTAGGAATCAATAAAGGTCACACTATTTAAAAATGCCCAGCCTGACCAGAGTGCAGAAAAGACCACAGAACTGCTCAGGGTTTCCACAGCGATGCATGTTTTTATTGCTTTTTTTTTCCTTTTTTTTTTTTTTTTTTCAGCAGCAGATGGTAGGGCTGACATCTGCAAAAGCAAAGGGCACAGCTGGGTTACATCTCAGGTTATGGAAAGCAACAACATCTACTATCTGTCACCTGTTTGGACTACATAATTCACCTTTCTCTGAGAACAAAGTGCTTCCCCTATGCATAGAAAATGACTGCATGTTTCCTATTTATAACAAAAGTGATGCCTCATACCCCAGAGGAGACAGAAGAGCAATGGCCTGTAACATTAACAACCAAGGATGACGCTCATAACAAAAAGCAAAGCTACCAACATTCAAGGTGTTTTCTGCATTCTGGAATTAAAACTCTTTTTGTGAAAGATGTTAGTCTAAAAGCAGCAGTCAGTATTTTGGCAAAAAAAAAAAAAAAAGCAATGCCTTTTCCCATGGGAATGAATATGCTTCACGATTGCATCCCTGTTTAAAGCAATGAGGATGTTGGTTCCTGGCTGGAGCACTGCAGAGGCTGTGAGGGTAAAGAGGGTAGGGGGAACAGATGCCCACATGCCACAACTCCGGGTGGCTGTCCTCCCTCCCCAGCTGGCTGCAGGTACTGACAGTCATTTGACTCAAACGGAGGTGAAAACAGCTTTTGGTCCTAGTGACAGAGTTAACAAGCAAACCAAAAGAGAGCATACAGTAAGTTTCAAACCACTGAAGAGAAACTGGTGTATTTTACATCGCAATCATTCTATTCTTTCTGGTGTTACTGTCCAGAATTAAAATGAAAAGGTCTTTTCATAGCTCTGTTGTGATTCAGTTTGTGCCAAGTGCTTCCCAGTCTGGATTCCACCCCAGGTATTTTACTTCTGTGACATTATTTGAATGTACTGACCAAAATATACAATATTGTAGATAAGGAACATCTGTGGAGAATTATATTCTTGAATGCAGAACAAACAGTTGATGCTGTCAGTTGCTCTAATCTCTGCACCAGCTATGTGCATTCAGAGCAGTTGATAATGCAATTTGGTGTTTCCCTAGAAGCAGGCGGAAGGGCATGCACTTTCAGAGGAATAGATGGCATGACTGCAAGAGCACCCCAAAGTTCAGTCCCACCCCCTTATTTGTACTCTATTAAAGATACTCTGAATGTGTGCTTTCTGTCAGGGACTTTTCTGCATGCTGTTGATAATGTTGCCTTGTTCAGAGGGGTCAGCAAGAGCAGTACAGAGTATTTTCCAATGAAATGGGCAGAATTACTTAGCTAAGTCCTTTTATTTAAAAAATAAAAAAAAAAAAAATTGCTTAACATCTCAGCAAAACAAGATCTCTTTGGCTTGATTCAATCTCGCATCTAAAAACAAAAAGGGCATGAATGTGAGTGGAATCCTGTCCTTGGAGTGAGAAATAAACCCAGAAGTGCTGTTAAGCCATTCTCTTACCTCTAGAAAAGCTGCCTCTAGATTTTAACTCCTGATGTCATAGTTCAGCACCAAATTGCTCATGCCCTGATCAGTTTTGATTTTTCATGTGATGTATAGCATGGTGTCAGCAGTGTGGCACTCCACAGCTTGATGTGACGCTGTAGGACTGCTCACAGACTTCAAGAGGGTCCAGGAAATCCTACAAAATAGCAATGAGATAGGATATAAGCAAAATCTGCAGTAGTTTTTCATGTATAAATAATTCACACTAAAGCTGTCCTATCACTGTCTTGTTATCATTTTATATATAGCTAATATTAGTAACTACCAAGAGAGTAATACTATACCATTAGACAAATGATCTCCATCCCCTAAATCAGCAAGGCAGTCGATACCCAGCTCATGTCAGCTACTGATAAGGAGAAATGACAAAGCAGAACAACAAAGCACAACATTTGGCAACACAGATATATTTTTGTGGCCCAGATGAAAAAATCCAGAAGTAGGATTTTCACACATACCTCGTGTCTGAGGGTGTCCCCAGCCTCTAACTGGACTTGCAGAAATGGATGCTCTAGAAATTGGGAAAGTTCTCCTCATTCCTGTTTGTCAAAGCAAGACCTGTGTGACTGCAGCACTGAAATATGGGCTGGGACACCCCCTCAAACAAGAAATCAAGGCATTGTCCTGTAATCTCAAAAGAAATTGGGATCTATATTAGAAGACACTGCAACTACCATGGAGAACATCTCAGAAGTCAAAACACGTGTTTTAACAGCCCAGGGACTTTGTAACCAGTGCTATCTCCAGCGGCTCTGGGAGGAAGGGTGCCAGGACCTCATCCTCTACAGTTACAGAGCAAGATCCTGAATTCCTGGCGTTTAGAAACAACAGAGCAGTCTCCAGCTGTTTTTCTTGTTTTCTCTGTCAGATAGAGAAACTTTTCCAAAGCAACTGCCTTGGCACAATAGATGGATGATGGCTTGCACAGTAGGGTAAGAGCAGGAAGCAATGAACTGGCTGGCTGGATTAATACCATCATTAAATAATAGCAATGTGTATTTCAGAGCCTCATTTTGCAGGGCTCCAGACCTCATTTTATGCTTTTGATTCACTCTCCCCTTATAACAAGCCTGTATCTTACTTTGCACTACTCTGTATTTCGTTCTTGAACACTCCTCTTCCTGCTGGTTAAGGATAAGGAATAATGGAGAAGTAAGCGCAACTATCTAGTGTGATGCTATCAGACACAGCATGGATGTAGCAATAAGCATTATGTGCTATCACTATTCATTCGGCATGAAAGACAGCTTCTGCCTTTGTGCGGTCCTGGCGTGCACCCTGCAACAACCCAGCCAGCGGGTAAAAAGGCAGGGCAGATTACCTGAGGAAGTTTACCTGATATTAACTCTTCATTAGAACAGTTTCCTGCTCTACTGTGTCATCAAGGGGGACACCCTGTCCCTTGCTTTGAACAGAATTTGCCCCTGCTCAGCTTTTTTTTTGCAAGGCAGAGGGGAACAGGGCCAGTTGAAAGCACCTTCATGACTGCAGCAAGAGCCTCCCCACCCCTGGCCTCACTCGGGTGGGATGCAGGAGCAGGCTCAGCAGAAATCATCCAAGGAACGCTGTGAGCTAAAGGCCAATTTTCAGCTGAAGTCAGTGATCATGGCTACTTCTCCCTAAAGTGGCCAGAGAACCTGTCCTGAGGGGACAGGCACACAGCACTCTGAGACACGTGCCTCCTGGGCAGATATAACTGCATTTACCTGAGGTCCTGTCCTCCTGGGCTGCCTGCAAAGGGCAGGGAGGTGCTCCTGCCTCTGAGCGCTGCATAATCATAATAAATGCATTTGCTGGAAGAAATTAAACAACAACAGGTGTCCTTCAGAGCCCGAAATGGCTGTTAAAAGAATTTACATTCGTGAATAAACAGCATGAGAAATTGTCTGACAGCTTCTCGTTATTAAAATTAAGACCTGCTTAATCCCTGCCAACGTCAGTGGGACCCCAGATGACCTGCTAAGTGCTGGTCACAAAAGTTAATGTTGCCTAAGGGAAGTTTTGGTGAAAGCAGCCTATTTAAATATATATATACATATAATTTAAAAATATTTTGGAGCTGTCATTGCAGCAGTTGAAGTCAATGGCAAAATCCCACAGCTTTCAGGGAAGCAACGAAGCAGAACTTGTAGAGACTGTCTGCAAGTGTCCTATGCAAGAGCACAGTCTGGAGGGAGGAATTCTGGTCCTGTGCAGGCAGACAGTTTCTTTCCCACTTGGATGTGCTCCAGTAAACGGTGCTGGAGGCAGAAGCTGCACACCCACTTGGAGAAAATTCACTGATCTGCTATGTGGCCTCCCTAGCACCTTGCCAGTCCTTTTTGTTCTCTGCTTGTAAAACAAGGATGCCAGCAATCATATATACTTTTAAAATTTAATACACTTGGAAAGGTTCTCCCTAGAGTTATTGTTAAATTACCCCATTTGACGTACAAGATGTCCCACAACGCCATTGTTTTGAGTGAGGCCTTAAAGACAAACCCAGAGGCACATATCATGTATGTTCAATGAGGCTTACTGGAAACAATCTCAAGTAAGGTGGGGAAGGTTTTATGCTGACCGCCCTTCCTTTCTGCATCATATTTTGTTGCTACTCAAAAGTAAAGGATTGATAGGTAAAACAATCCATTTGCAGCAGATCTGTCATAATGTAAAAATATTGATATTTGAAGCTGCCTGCCCACGTGTAAAAGCAAGTTAAAATCAATAGGGATAAATTAGGACTTCTCCAGCTATATAAATGTTACAATAACAGAGCCTTTAGTGCATAAAAATCCTGTATGGCAGATGATAAAAATAGTTGAAATGTACTTTTTACTGCAGTTATAAGAGGCAAGGTAAAATATCAACTATCTTCCGTTCTAAATTTTGAGCAGTATGTTTTATTTCCACAGACACTGTTTTTTGCAGAGCACTGAGTCCTATCAATGCCCACTCTCCTCACGATCAGGAGATCGTGTGGGTGCTCTGCTGCACCCACACCACTCCCTCTGGGGGACATCTCCCCAGGCTTGTCCCAGGAGCACAGAGGAGCACCAACTGACTTTTTTCTTTTACTAAATGAGATGCCACCATTGGGATAATATGTTTTTATTTACCTCTTTCTTCCAAAGTGCATGAGGCATTACTCTTCAATAACATATTTGTTACTCCTGGACTGTATTATACCTATATTATACCTGCTCTTATCTTGTATTTCCCTTCTTATTTTTCAGTGACTCTAGCTTCTAGCAGAGCTCCTTGCCCAAGCAAGTTGTCCTCCTGCATTTGCCTCTGATTATTTCATCGTCATGATGGCTGGCTGAGTTAGGCTGGAGGTAACAGAAGAACATGGTTTCCTGAGGAGATGAAAACAAAGTGTTACTCTGAACTTACCCCATGGTTCCTGCCAGATCTTTGTCTGATAACTTCAAATCTTGATCATTAAATGAGGATAGCACTACTTCTCAGGCACATTTCTGTTCCATTATGAATAAATATCACTACTTTGTTACTTATAAAACTCTTAGTGACTCTTTGTTCTTACAAATGCCCAGTGACTGCCCACAGAAAGGGAATGAGCAGGTGACCAGCCTTGTAGCTTGTTTGAGAGTTCAGGTGTGGAGGATGTTTGCAGGAAGAGAAAGGAGAGAAGTTCATTTTCCAAGTGGCTGCTGGACTTATTGACAACCTCATGTTTGGCCAGGATTAGCCTGTGAGAGGTCGGCAGCTATTCCCTTGGGCCTGAGCAAAGATTGTTTTAAATACTTAAGATGGGCTCTCAGGCTATACATTCTTTGCAACAGTTATGCTATTCATGAGAAGTTGTTCAAATGAGACTTTTCAATTGCTTACATGAGAGGAAGCATTTGGCAACCGGACAGAGAAAACCAGATTTTTTTTGAGAAGCTTTATCCCAAAGTGCAATTGTTTTGTCACACATTTCTTTCTCTCTCTCAAGGTTGAAAAGTTTTTGGCAGCAAAAACTGTAGAGCTTGCAAAAGGCACGGGTTTCCAGCACGGCGTGTCAGATGAACCTAATGAGACAGATCCTTGGCAGCCGCAAATGAGTGCAGTCCCATTGACAACACCACAGCAAGGCTGATTTACACTTGCGGAAGACAGGGCCCAATATGTTTGAAACTGGGAGGCTGCCATTACAGCTCTGAATACAGCTTAATGCCTTTACTCTGTTTAAATAATGTGCATGATGCCATTGCCCTGAAGTGCGGTAATTGGATATTATACCATTCCAATAGTTTGGGTTGGCTTCTCCTTATCCTCATCTTTTTACTGTAAGCATTCATACAATTGCATGTAAATAGTTTTCTTTCATAACTCTTGATTTAAAATGATTTTCTAATACTATTTTCACTACATCTGTTCCAGCTGATTATCAGGCCTGAGAACTAGAATTTGGCTCTAGTATTTTCTTGACTCAAGGCTGTTAATGGTCCTGGTGCTCAAAGGAGTGGGGTCAAGCCCTTTGGCCCGATCTGTGCCTGTGCAACTGTACCATTAGGAACGCACAACATGCAAACTGAGCTCTCTTAAGCAGCACAGAAAAATATTTCCCTGCCTAGTAAATGAGGTTTTACAGCTTGTGTTGTTCAGGATGTGAGATCTTGTGACCACATTGCTTCATTTTGACCTGATAGATGAAGTGTCTAAAAACTTTACTTAAAATACCTGCTACTCACATCCATGTGCATTGGCATACATACATGCAAAACCGGAGATTTCCCATGCAAACAAATTTCCATATGCAAGCAAATCCATAATTTGACAATGCAGCTTTGTGCTCTTAAAGATGCAGACAAGTGGTTATAAACAATCCTAAACTGACAGGCATGAACAGTGCATGCAGATGTCTTACATAAACAGTAAGAGATCTGTGGAAGTGCTGTACAGGCGCAGTCATCCTTTGTTACTCCCTGGTAATATACGCCTAGTAAAAGTGGATTCTACAGCCTATTCTGTTTTCTTGAAAAGGCACGTCTCCCATTTTCACAGCTTTTTCTTGGCAGCAAGGTAATAATCAGGCCCTGATTGCTAAGTAGAATTTTAAAAATCTATTTTTCATATTTATTAAAATTCCACAGTGTGTAGGCTCTCCAGAGAGTCATTAAATGATGAGTTCTTTATGCAAAATTTAAT